TGGCAGGCCCTCCGTGAGGGGCCCTGCTCACTCACTCATCTCTATGTACTCGGGGGGCTGTGACGGGTGGACAGCCCACACCTGGCAGGCCCTCCCTCTGTGAGGGGCCCGCTCACTCACTCATCTCTATGTACTCGGGGGGCTGTGACGGGTGGACAGCCCACACCTGGCAGGCCCTCTAGGAGGGGCCCGCTCACTCACTCATCTCCATGTACTCGGGGGTGAGGCCCGCGAAGGGCTCCAGATTGTAGTCCACCTCGTAGCGCTGCTTCTTCTTCATGTACTCCTCGCGGTCCGAGGCACGGCGCCGCTTCAACTTCAGGTAGCGGATCAGCTTCTTCATTTTGCTGGAAGCAGAGTGAGCCTGTGTCAGCCAGGCAGGAAAGCCCAGGGGCTCCCGTGTCCCCCTCCCCAGGCACCCCTGAAACGGCAATCGATCTCTTCACGCATCACCATTGATGACATTGGTACTGATATCAGTGTTAGAAGGGGCTAGTCCCTGGAAAAAGACATCAGGCTTGGGAAAGCGGCGGGTCAGCAACGGAGGGGCAGACGCTCAGTGAGATAGACTGACACAGTGACTGCGGCCACGCCACGGGCTCACGTACGGCAGGGAGGATGAGGAGAGCACGGGGCAGGGCTCAGGGCTGCTGCTCAGAGTCGCTATGAGTCGTACTCGACTCCACGGCACCTAACAACACACTGATGGTGTCATTTGTCCTGCCCCCCAAATAACCAGAGTCAGTGCTTGCTAGCCACTTAGGGACACTGAGGCACCAAGGCCACGGCCAGCAGAGTGAGTTCTGGTGCACGCGGAGCCTGCAGGACAGAGAGCCGCCCTGGGGAGCTGCCAAAGCTCTAGTCATTTTTCTTTTTTGAGTGGCTGGGGGGCTTGAACTGCTGACCTTTTGATAGGAGCTAAGTGCTTTAACCACTGAAGTACCAGGTCTCCTGGCTGAGGCTCAAGGAGCAGGCCCAGCTCTGGGGCAGTGGGTGGAGGTGGGCAGCAATGGAACAGGGCCGTGCCCATGCCGGACTTTTGGGGAGCAGCGTGATAGGGTGTCTGGAAACAGTCCAACAGCCCCACTTTTCAAAGCTTCTGTGAGGGTCAGGGCCTGGATTCTCAAAGGCCAATAAGGTAAGGAAGAAGAGCACCCCAATACTCCATTTGGCATCTCCAGGAAGTAGGCACACGAGTTTAGGGGTATCTGGTGCTTCCCTGCACCCTCAGCTAGCTGATTTGGGACCCAGGATTCACTGGTCCTTTCCCCTCTGTCTCTGGAAGACTGTACCACCTTTGCCATCTCCCTGTTCCTGCGCCCACCCCCTGCCCGGATGAGAACCAGTAGGACCTGGCCTTGTGGCCAGCTGGTGAGGAGGGGCACAGAGAGGAGGGTCTGTAATGGGGATGACCAACTCCTGGACTGTGTACTGAGGGAGGCTGTACCACCTTGAGGGTGTGTTCTGGGGTGAGTCACCCTAAGGTGGATGGAGGAATGTAAGGAGGATGTGCATTAGAGAGGGTCTCTGTTGGGTGGATGGATGTATGTGTGGAGGCTGCACCCTGGGAAGGCCACGCCTGTGGGGAAGCTATGCCTCAGTTCAGGTCTCCTTGGGTAGAAGGGGCATGTGGGGAGAGTGTACCTCAGTGAGGGTCTCTTCAGGGAGATGGGGGCTTGTGGGGAGGGGTTGCTCCTAGGAAGGTCTCCCTCTGGTGGATGGACATGGCTGAGGCTGTGTGTGTGGGGAGGCTGTGTGTGCAGGGAGGATGTGTGTGTGTGGAGGCTGTGTGTGAGGGGAGTCTGGGTGTGGGGAGGCTGTGTGTGCGGGGAGGCTGTGCATGTGGGGAGGCTGTGTTGAGGGGAGGCTGTGGCTCAGGGAGGCTGTGTTGAGGGGAAGCTGTGCATGTGGGGAGGCTGTGCATGTGGGGAGGCTGTGGCTCAGGGAGGCTGTGTGTGAGGGGAGGCTGTGTGTGTGGAGGCTGTGTGTGTGAGGAGGCTGTGTGTGCGGGGAGGCTGTGTGTGCGGGGAGGCTGTGTGTGCGGGGAGGCTGAGAGGGGAGGCTGTGTGTGTGGAGGCTGTGTGTGAGGGGAGGCTGTGTGTGTGTATGGAGGCTGTGTGTGTGGAGGCTGTGTGTGTGGAGGCTGTGTGTGTGTGGAGGCTGTGTGTGCAGGGAGGCTGTGCATGTGGGGAGGCTGTGTGTGAGGAGGCTGTGTGTGCAGGGAGGCTGTGCACATGGGGAGGCTGTGGCTCAGGGAGGCTGTGTGTGAGGGGAGGCTGTGCATGTGGGGAGGCTGTGTGTGTGGGTAGGCTGTGTGTGCAGGGAGGCTGTGTGTGCAGGGAGGCTGTGTGTGTGCGTGTGGAGTCTGGGTGTGGGGAGGCTGTGTGTGTGTGGAGGCTGTGTGTGCGGGGAGGCTGTGCATGTGGGGAGGCTGTGTGTGAGGGGAGTCTGGGTATGGGGAGGCTGTGTGTGGAGAGGCTGTGTGTGCAGGTAGGCTGTGTGTGTGGAGGCTGTGTGTGTGGGGAGGCTGTGCGTGTGGGGAGGCTGCAGCTCAGGGAGGCTGTGGCTCAGGGAGGCTGTGTATGTCGGGAGGCTGTGGCTCAGGGAGGCTGTGTTGAGGGGAGGTTGTGCATGTGGGGAGGCTGTGGCTTAGGGAGGCTGTGTGTGAGGGGAGGCTGTGCATGTGGGGAGGCTGTGTTGAGGGGAGGCTGCAGCTCAGGGAGGCTGTGGCTCAGGGAGGCTGTGTTGAGGGGAGGCTGTGCGTGTGGGGAGGCTGTGCATGTGGGGAGGCTGTGTGTGTGTGTGGGCTGTGCATGTGGGGAGGCTGTGTGTGCGGGGAGGCTGTGTGTGTGTGGAGGCTGTGTGTGTGTGTAGGCTATGTGTGTGTAGAGGCTGTGTTGAGGGGAGGCTGTGCGTGTGGGGAGGCTGTGCGTGTGGGGAGGCTGTGGCTCAGGGAGGCTGTGGCTCAGGGAGGCTGTGGCTCAGGGAGGCCGATGTGGGAGTGCAGACTCACGGGATGCCGATCTCGAAGAGGTTGTTCTGGATGAGCTGCTTGCCCAGCATGATAATGCTGAGTTGAATGCAGAGCTCCATCAGACAGCCGCCTGGTGCACACTGCAAACAAAGAGCCAGTCAGCGTCCGCCCGGCTGACCAGGGAGGCTCTGGCCCGCCTGGGGGGGGGGTGTCCCAGAGTCCTGATCTGGGAATGGGACCTTTCTCTGCAGGTGGAATTGCATCAACATGACCTCAGACTGCACTTATGTGCCAGCGAGTCCATTCTGACGTATGCCCACCAACGGGGCAGAGCAGAACTGCCTGAAGGTGTCCAATGCTGGCCTCAGTTTTCTTCCACCAAGTGGTGGGTGGGTTAGAATCTCCAACCCTTCAGTTACTGCCCAATGCTTGACATCTGCACCACCAGGGCTCCTTCTTCCTGGAGAAGGTGGCCCTGACTGCTGAGGGAGATTTGGGACAGAGACACAGAGACACAGGAAAGATGACAAGAGCGACAGTGGAAGCAGTGCTGCCGTGGGCCCAGGACCACAGGCACAAACCAGAAGCAGCGAGGAAGGACCACCCTTGGGCCTGTGCGGGGACGTGGCCCTCCCAACTCCTCCATCTCAGCCCTGATCTGATGTAATGGGTGTTGTAAGAACGCAGAGAGATGCACACCCATGTTTATTGCTGCGCTAGTCACAAAAGCAGAGATGGAAGCAAACCAAGTGCCCATCAACAGATGAATGGATAGAAAGAGTATGGTATATATAGATCCACATAGTGGAATACTACACAGCACTGAAAAACAAGGAACTCATAAAATATTACACAACATGGGCTACCCTCAAGGACATTATGCTGAGTGAAATACCTCAGTCACAAAAGGACAAATACTGCATAACACTGCTGTTATAAAACAGGACTGACATGGGGGCTGGGGGGAAAGTAAGAAAAGAGGGGGTGAATAATGAACACTATATTGGAACAGATAAAGGAAAGAATTATTTAAAAGGAATATGTGATCAGCATTATACGTATGACAATGGCACATTGCGAAGAGGACGGGGAGGGGGAGGGGAGGTAGCATTGTAACAATGAATGAATAAGAATAATAATAATAACAATAACAATAATAATAATAATAATAATAATAATAAAAACGTGAACTGGGGAAGGGGGAAGGGAGGGAGAGGTGGTAAAATATGAAAACTATGAATAAATGAAAATTGAACTCTTATGTAAACTTTCATTAAAATCACAAAAAAAAAGGCAGCTCTGGTGGCCTAGTGGCAAGAAGCTGCACTGCAATCCCAGAGGTGCACGGTTCGAATCCACCAGATGTTCTGCTGGAGAAGGAGGGACAATCTCCTCCTGTGCCAGTCAGATCTGATTTGACGGTACACACACAAAAAATAATAATTAAAAAAGAAGGGAAAAAAAGGAACACAGCGAGACACAAAGGGAAGACACGAGCAGAGACAGGAGGAGTGCAGCCACAAGCCAGGACCCATGGGGCCCCAGCAGGTGGGAAAGGCGGGGAGAGGCAGGAAGGACCCCACAACAGCCTGCAGATGGTATGGCCCTGCCAACACACTGGCTTTGCTGTCTAGCTTCTGGACTAGTAAGCGAGTAAAGTTACTGTTTTTTTCGGCCCCCAGCATGTAGCATGTTGTCACAGCAGCCACAGAGAACTCACAAACCTTGCTCACAGGCCTCCTGGACAAGAAGGGGCCTCAACCAGGGCCCAGAGGGGCGAGCACTCTGCTAGGGAATGGGCACTGGTGGGGCTAGAACTCAGGCCTTCTTCCTCCAGGGCCAGTGCCCATCCTGTGTGCCCCAATGCCCACCCAAAAGTCTGCACTGTCGCAGTGAACTGAGGTACACCTGGCTGGGAAGGTGAGGCAGTGCTCCAGCTTCCAGCCCCAAGGGTTTGTGCCCAGTGGGTCATGCAGCCCTTGGCTGGGGGTCAGGCACTCAAAAGGTCAAAGCCAGCCCTGGTGGCAGAGTCAGCAGGCAGGCTGTAAACTCAGCTCACCCCAGGAAAGGAGGGCATGGAAGCTGAGTGACCCCTGGAGCTGACCCAAGGCCTTCATGAGTTCTGAGCCAAACTCTTCAAAGAAGTCTTGGGGAGCTCTGGTGTCCTAGTGGCAAGAAGCTGCACTGTAATCCTAGAGGTACAATGTTCAAATCCACCAGGTGCTCTGCGGGAGGAGGGGCAATCTCCTCCTATACCAGTCAGATCCAATTTGATGGTACACACATACAAATAATAAAATTAAAAAATTAAAAAAAGAAGTCTCAGGGAGTATCAATTGCATAAAAAGCAAGGCTGCCCTTTCACTCTTATTCTGTTTTGCAAAGGCATTTATTTTGCAGCCCCTCCATCCTCCCAGAGTATGACAGGATGTCTTCTCAGAGGGCAAAGCCAGGCCAGGCAAGGGCACTCTGTGAACCTTTTATGAACACCTGCTACTGCTGCTGGGGCCCATGCTCTGGGATGTGCAGGGGTGGGCACTCAGCTGACCGCACCAGCAGCTGGATCACCCAGGACCTGAAGCCCATACCAACACTTTATATCATATTTTCTGATGAATTAGTCTGTAAATTGGAAATGCTGATCAGCTATTCTGAGACCTGAACCCTGGCTTGATCTGATGGTGGGGCCATGGGTTGTGGGACAGATAGCTGAGGAAATCCACGTCCCATGACTCAGAGGAAGAGGGTGCACTGGTGTCCAGGCCGGCTGTGGCCAAGCCACTGAACTGAAGGTAAATACCACTCGCCTTGGAAACCAGACACAGCCTCTTGTTTGAGGGCATGTCTGACTCACTGCTGCCCCGGGGGGTTCCACGGCTGTATGTCTTTATAGAAATACACTGTCTGTCTCTCCTGAGGAGCGGTGGGTGGGCTTGAACCCCCAGCTTAGCATCCCAAGGCTTTAGTCCCCATCTCTCCAGAGCTCCTCCATATTTAACGTTTATAGCACAAAGAGGCAGCCCAGTTCTGTCCCTTTCTCAGGAATTCATTTCAATCACTGAAGCACTCGGGGTTTTGGGGTGTGTGGGGAATTCCAAAATACAAAAGCCAGGATAAAATCGGGTGTTCCTCTTTTTCCTTCATTACCTCTGAGGAGACATTCCTCTTTTAGGAGAATTGGAAAATAAGATCAAAGCCCATCAGCCTGCCCCTCGTCTGACACTTTGTGGAGTTAGCCTGTCCCATGGTGACTCCCACCCTGAGTCGGGGAGGTGGGGGCAGCGGGTCAGGGGGCAGCAGAGTCCCAGTTACCTCCTCCATCCGGAAAGAGTGGAAAATGTACACGTAGTCTCCGGGGCGTCCCACGAACCTGTGGCGAGGGGTGGAAGTCAGGGGGCTGTGCTGGGCTCAGGGAGACCACCCAGGGGAGCCATGTGCTGGGTCGGTGCCCAGAGAGTGGACTTATGAGCCTTTCTTGGGGCCTGATTTAATCTGGAAAGACCACCACGGTGCTCTGAACGAGCCAAATGCTCATGTTTTCTTGCCAAGCTTGCGGGGGAGGGAGGAGATGTGTGGACTTCACAGGAGGCCCCCAGACTGTAAGGAATGCAGGAAGAGTCTGGGGAGGGGGGACTGCAGCATGGTGAGGCCTCAAGGGCTGCTTGGATACAGAATGCACTTGGCCATGAGACTCTGTTCTCCTTCGAAGGAATAGGGGCACAGGGCAACGCTGGGGACTGAGGTCAGCCTTGGGTGGGGGTGGGGACCATGGACAGGTTGGGGTGGGGGAACCTGACTGGGATAGGAGGGACTAGACTGGGGGTGTGTGGTTGAGGGCCATCGGCCCGGGACCATGCTGGGGACCTTGGACAAGCTGGAGACCTTGGATAGGCTGGGGTGCGGGCAGCTGGCACAGGAATGGACAGGCTGGATGGAAGCAGTGGTGGAGGAGGTCGTGTGGGTGAAGCCTAGGTGGCTTAGGCAGGCTGCCTCCCAGCTGTCTATGGGGTGCATAGAGTAAGGGTGCTGTGGGGATTCCTAGAACAGAGGGGGCCTGGGCCTCTGGGTGGGCAGAGGCATGGTGGGGTGGGATGCCATGGCAGCCCAGGTAAGCAGGTGTCCCTGAGCCTCCTGTGAGGTGGCTGGCAGCTGCACAGCATACACCTCACCCCTTTCTCATCAGGGGCACTCACCCTCTTGACTCCTTTGGCCACCCTGGGCACCCATAGTTGCTGTCAAGGGCCCCCTACTCTGGCCTTCTTGGGGGATCCTAGTGGATGTCTAGACTACACTGGGCTTGAAGGGTCCCCACTAGGACAGAGGTGCGGGTGCCTTTCCCAGGAACAGGAGGAGTTGATTGGGGTTGATTGGCATTCCAGCAATGACACGGTCCCTACCTGCCTTTGAAGAAAGCCACATAGAAGATTGGGGTGTAGGAGTTGACAAACTTGAGCAGGAATGCCTTGAAGATGAGTCTCTCTTCGAAGCTCTTCTCTGTCTTTGGGACCTCTGGAAGGAGAGGGGGGACAGGGGCATGCTGGCACCCATGGGGAAGCACCCACAGTGCAGTGACCAGCCTTGCCTTGCCCAGCCCTGACCCCTGTGAATAGGACGCTGTGTGGAAAGGCTGCTGCGTGTACGTGGGGTCATGGCTGACCGTCCAGCGGGCTTTCACGAGCAGTAAATCGCGTGGGAGGAGATGGCCCGTCTACCAAGGAGCAGCTGGTGGACTGGAACTGTGTGCTTTTGGGCTGGTAGCACAGCTCCATACCACCAAGCCGCCAAGGCTTCCTATTTGGCAGTAGGGCTTTTTCTTTTGTTCTCTTCATGGGCCCATCATGGAGCTGACCCTAACCCTAAGCCCTTATGAATGATGGAAAGGGCAGAAAGACATCAATGTAAGTAGGGGAAGTGGAGGGAGGGCAGGTGAAGCTGGGACAGACCCGGAGGGCTTCCTGCAGGAGTCACGCCTGAATGCAGGCTCCGCCCCTGCACCCAGGCTCCGCCCCTGCACCGTGAGGCATAAGGCGCTGCGTTGCTGCTCTTCAAGGAACAGCTGCACTATTGTTAGGACAGCTCTCCCTGCAGTGCTCGCTTGCTCACTCGGGAAGTACCGTAACCACTGGATTCGTGGGATTCCTCACTCATCTCGAGTGAACGCCTTCCCATTTCTCCACCACAACAGAGACTCTGCTTCCAGGTCTGGTTGGCTCCTGTCTCCCTCCTAACCCGACAGGACCTTCCTGCAGAATCCAAGCATTTTTTCAGGTCCAGTCCCTGAAGGGATGTTGTAATCACATGCCATCAAGTCGAGGACGACTTCCCAGCGACGCTGTGAACAACAGCTCTGAACCCTGTCTGATCCGGGGCCGTCCTCACCATCCTGGACATACCTGAGCCCATGGAGGCAGTCACTGTGTCAACCCATCTCGTTGAGGGTCTTCCTTTCTTTCGCTGACCCTCCACCTTTCCAAGCACGATGTCCTTCTCACTGACCTTCCACCTTTCCAAGCACGATGACCCTCTCCAAGGAAGTCTCTCCTAGCAGCATGCCCAAAGAGACACGAAGCTTTGTCTTCCCTGCCTCCAAGGAGCACTCTGGCTGCACCTTCTCCAAGACTATCTTTGATCTCTTGGCACTCTGTGATAGGGAGCCCAGTAAGTAGGGTATGGGCCAACCATGCACCCTTCTCAGTCCATAGTGAACGTTTTCACATTTTTTCCCCCAGCATCAAAGATTCAACGGGAAGGTCTGATAGGTATTGTCTCTCTCCCAACCTCATAGCACCTTCCTAGAGCCTCTTGTCAAACTGGAACCCCTGACAGGAACAGGGTGCCTAAGAGCAGGGGGGCCCGCGCTGAGCTCCATTGCTCTTAGCCATCAGTCTACTCACCAATGCAGGTTAGTAACCAAGCACTTCTCAGTGAAAACACTAGACTGGTGGGTGTTTAGAAATTAGGACCAAAGTCTTAATGTAGGAATCATTTCATTTCTTGAGATAGGACTACGCAGCATCCCGCAAGAGGCTCGAGTTTTTATTTGGTAAATCAAACGAAGGCAACAGCTTTACATCGTAAGGGGAGTGCAGGGCAGGGAGGAACTGTCAAACTACAAGCTTTCTTACCATCAGTTCCTAGCTGAACTTTTACTTCTTATCTCCTGCTACAATTTAAATCCTAGTTCCAAAGCACACTGTAAACATTTAGATGTGTGAAGGGAGGGTCTTGGGATTGATTGTAGATCAGGCCAATTCTAGTTGAATTGTTGAGATGAGAAAGCTGACCATTAATTTAAGAAGTGAAGGTTGAGTCAATGCTAATCTGCAGCCTCTGAAATATAAACAGTGCCTGTCTGGCTGAGGGGGCGTGTGAGCAGCTCAGACAATTTACAGGCAACTGTCAGAGAGCGGGCGAAGAGAACAAGTTTATTTTCACAAGTTAAAGGCAGAATCTCTGCATTCTTTGTGTTATAAACAGTCAAGACTTTTACAGCGAGGCTCTGTCTTTCTAGCCAGTTACAAACTTGCAAAGAAAACTTGCAGAAATTCTGTGCAAAGTTCTCAGCAAGAGAAAATTTAATCTGAGAGTAAGATTGAAGGTATAAAGGCATGACACCCGTGTATCTGTCTTGGTTACAAAACTAGTTAGAGTTTCTAGCTCCTGGTGGTCTAGTAGGTAAGGAGGTGCACTGCAAACCCAAAGGCAGGTGGTTCAAATCCACACACTGCTCCGCAGGAGAAAGATGGGCACACTCCTCCTCTGTGATTTGCAGCCTTTGAAAACTGCTGGAGGGTTTTCAACAGCACATAACAACAACAACAACTTCATTTATTACTGTTGGGTCAATTTTCTAGCCAACTGATAATTAAGGTGGGTTTTCCAAGACTAAGAACCTTCACCATGATCTTTGTAGACAAGAATAAGGTACTTAAAAAATATTACGCGATTCTTTTTCTAGGCTTGAAATTCTGATTCTCGTCTTCTTTGCTATTTGAATAGTAACATTTCAATTGAAAGAAAGAAAAAAAAAAAACCCAAACAAACCCAAACAACCCTGGTTTTCTGACTGGCGGGGGGGAGGGGGGGAAGTGCTGAATAGTTTTCTTCAGAAAGATAGAAATTAAAATCTTTGCTTAATTTTAAATGGAGTTTTATCTTAGAACTAAGTTAAATTACTCAGATATGCCAGCGCCCAGTTATTTGACACCCACAGAACAATCTGAAACGGTTCATTGCAGATTCGCAGGGAGAGATGCGTAAGCCCCGGCTTGCCCGCTCACTAGGTAATCCAACCTGGCGAGGACTGAGACGCAGCACGCTCCATTGAGCATTCACTGTGCTGGTGAGCAGTGAATGACGCAGGATGAGACACCCACCCTTCTCCTGGGGCAGCTGGTGGACTCAAACCACCTGCCTTAGGGATGGCAGCATGATGCCTTATGCACTGGGCCACCAGTGCGCCCTCTGCAGTGACAGCCAGGAGGAAGCTCTGTGCTTCTCACTGAGAGCAGGACATTGAGGCTCAAGAAGTTATCTCCACAGCCACAGGCATTCCCCCCTCTGGCTGCCTGATTCCAGGGCGCTGGGGCGCCCACCGTGCTTCCCAGGCACTGTCACCCCCAAAGTGGGCACTCACCAATCTTTGTGAGCCAGCGTGCTATGCAGCCGTAGACCTCGTCCAGCAGGATGATGACCACCAGGTTGATGATGACGGCAGTGGCCGTGACCGTGACACGGATGTTGGAGCGCACGGAGGGCGAGGAATTCACGGCCAAGGCGGCGGCCATGGAGATCCGGTAGATGATCACACCGAGGACAATGGCAAATGTCACCGCGATCTGTTGGCAGGAGGGGCACACTCTCAGTGGGTGAACCCCTGGTGGCCCCAGAACCACAGCATGGAATCAGCGCACTGGGGCCTTACCTGGACAGGCACACCCTAGGCGGGGCATCCCCATGGGGTACACTCTCGGTGGGGGACCCCCTCGTGGCCCCAAAGCCACAGCATGGAATCAGTGCACTGGGGCCTTACCTGGACAGGCACACTCTAGGTGGGGCATTCCCATGGGGTACACTCTCGGTGGGGGACCCCCTCATGGCCCCAGAGCCACAGCGTGGAATGAGCACACTGCAGCCTTACCTGGATGGCCCGTCCTGCCCTCTGCCCAGCTCTGCCCCTACCCTCCAGCCCTCCAGCTGACAGCAGATGCACCCCAAGCAAAGTTGGTGTCTTTTCAGGATCAGGCCGGTTGACACTGAGCGGACTGGGCCGCCTGGTGTCCACGTGTGTCAGACATGCTGTGCTGCATGGACTGCCTTCCATATGTTCTCAACTGATCTTACTCCTAGTCGTTGAGACTAGATTCCCAGCAGCATGCACTCCAGCTCCAGCCTCTCCAAGCACAGGCCAGTGACGCAGACTGTTGAGTTCTGCAGCCCCTTCACCCTCCTGTCCTCACTGTTCCTCCCCTTGATATACACTTAGCACTCATCAAGTTCCTGTCTATACTTCCCAGTTTCTCATGTCAATTTGAGCCCATAGACTCTTCTTTGAAGAAGTCATCAGGAGAAATTTTTAGAGATGTTCTGAGGACAATGGTTTCAAGAGTAAGGTTTCACTCAGCCTCCACAGCTCCAGAAAGTCTGGATTCCATTGCAGCTGAAAATTCTGTTTTTCATTTTTTCCCCTTTGATCAGGAGTCTTTTAAGAGGATTTTTTTCCTAAAAAATGTTCAGTAATAACAGCCAGACATCACCTCGTTCCAGTCTCGTGGCAAAGGAGGCAGTTGTTGGTGGAAGCAATTGGCCACCCATTCCAATCTCCTCCTTCTCCTGACCCCCTTCTCTCTCTGTTGCTTCACGTAAATGCTGCTGCGAGGTGCCAAGATCCTGATAGATCCTCCTTTGACCCTTGCTGGAGTGATTCTCCATGGTCACTTTGAGAGGAACAAATGCTCTGTCCCACCCAGGGTGTCCTGGGAAGGGAGAGGTGGTGGATGTGCGTGGTCAGCCCCTGAAGGTCTGCCTGGGAGAGGTGAGTGGTCCAGGACCCTTCAACCTGGGGTCTGTACAGACCCCGAGGGCAATTCCCTCATCTTGCCAAGCTCACCACTGGCCCGCAGCACCCTGTTAGGCCTGGGCTGTGGCTCCCAATGTCATGGGGTGCTGGCTTCAGGGACAAGCCTGTGACATGTTAAACGAATCATCCAGTTGTCTGAGCTCTCTCTTCAAAAGCCCTAATGGAATTGGGAAAGCCATTCCCCTGACCTGGGTGCGCAACCTTCCCAAATTCTCCCCACTGCGGGAGAACTGGCTAAGCAATCCACTACCGCTGAGCTGGTTCTGGCTCCCAGGGCCCCGGAGGACAGTGCCGCCCACAGAGTGCCCAAGGCTTAGTCTTCACTGACGCAGACCACCTCATCGTCCTTCCACGGGGAGGCTGGTGGGTTTGAACCACTGCCCTTATAGTTAGCAGCTGAATTCTTTAACCACTGTGCCACCAGGGCTCCTTTAACTTGTAAGATTCTTTCCCCCCCCTTTTTTTACTGACTTTTCAGTCACATATTTAGACAGACGCCCCCTTCCTTCCCGTCATTCCCACAAACATGTCCTGTACCAACTTATGAGTAGCATTTCTCATAAAATCTTATCAACCCGTCTTTTCAGAATTACCTTCCCTCCGCCTGTTCCAATGCCGTGTTCTTCACCTGTCCGTGCTCTTCCTGTTTTCCCTGTCTCTCCCTCCCCCACCCCAATTGCTCTCCATTCTTCTTGATTTTGTAACAGTGGCCTCATACTGCCCATGTCCCTTTGTGGCAGGGTTAACTCACTCAGCGTAATGTTCTTTAGACTCATCCATGTCGTACAGTGTAGACAAACTGGTACATCTATTGAGTGGAGTACTATGCAACACTGAAAACTGATGAGGATCTAGAGAGACACTACACAACTCGCAAGACTTACTCTCATTGCTGTCAAGTTGGAATCAACTCATAGTGGCCTTCCTGCAGGTTGTCAGAGTCTGCATGTCACAGAAGGAGATTGCCTATCTTTCTCCCAAGGAGCTGCTAGTGGATTCGAACCATCGGAGAAGGACCACCTTTAGATTATCAGGGCAACCCCCTGCTTGCTGATTCTGACTCACGTGACCCCACACATTACAGCTGTGCTCCTGGGATTCTCATGGCACCAAGGTTAAAGTGTTCTGCTGTTAATTCTGAGGTCAGCAGCTCAAACCAAGGAAGGCTGGTGACACAGTGATTATGTGCTTGGCTGCTAACTGAAAGGGAAGCCGTGAGAAAGGAGAAGGAGAAAAGGCCTGGAAATCTGTTCTGTAAAGATGAGAGCCTTGGCATCCCTATGGGGCACGTTTGCTTTGTCCTACCGGGACACCACAAATGGGACTCGGTGATACACAAGAGTAACTGTCTTTATGGAGTCAGATTGTCAGGCCTTTCTTCCAAGGTGCCACTGGGTGGATTTGAACCACTGACCTTTATGTCAGCAGTTGAAGGCAACTGCTTGTGGCACCACATTTAAGGTTAGATGAGAGACCAACGAGGTAGGTGTTCCTTCAAATATCAGCTGCATGTCACCGCGTGGAGGTGCCTAGTGTCTTGTGGTATTGCTCACATGAGGCCTGTCCGTGAGAGGGACGCATGGCCTCTGGGCAGCCCTGGAAGGGACAGGGCTGTGCTGTGTCTCTGGGCTGGTCTGCTGGTCTCTGAGGGAGGCCACAGCAGCCTCAGAAACCTCAAGGAAACTGCTTTAAACTCTGCTCCAGTAAATCGACTCCTGTGGTGACTAAGCCATGGCCACACCTGCAGGAAGGAGCCAGCAGCCCACACCACGCCCGAGGCAGCAGTGGGGAGGCTGGGACCCTCCCTGCCCGGGGCTTTCCTTGGAAAAATCACTAGAGCCTTCTAGAGCCAACTCCCTCCCTGGATGTCCCTGCCCGGCCTGGAGGCCAGCTCTGTCAGCCTCTACAGAAAAGCAGGCAGACCGGCCTGCGAGGTGACTCAGCAGGACACGGACTATGGCTGGTCATGCCCTGACCAGCCCCATCCTGGGTCAGAACTCCAGCTCAGGGCCAGGCTTAGGCTGGTCATCTCATTCACCGTCTCACCACGGTGGCTCACGACAGGCACATGCTCACTCAGTGCTCCTTGCTCAGCCAGCCTGCTGGGTGCATCTAGGGATGTTCAGCCCCCAGGCCAGGCTGTCTGTGGCAGGAGCTGACCAGCAGCGAGGGCAGAAGAGGACAGGCTCAGGTACCTCAGCGTTAGGAGGCTGGTGGTGCAGAGCTCTGGCCCCGTGGATGGCTGCGAACCCTAAGGCTTGTAGCTCTAAGTGGCCTGGCAGCACCGTGAGAACCGGGGGACTTACCCCCACAAAGACTGTTGTTTTAGGTGCCACTTCTGACTCACAAACCACACGTATGACGGGACAAGCCATTGCCTGGTTGGGGCAGCCTCACAGTCAGTCAGTGCTGCAGCCTTCGTGCCAATCCAGTTCCTGAAAGACTTTCTCTCTTTTGCTGACCAAGCATGGCCTCCTTTCCCAGGGCTAGTTCCTGCTAACAGTGTCCTGGTCACATGATAACCCCTGGAAACGTGTCCAAAGAGTGGGGTTCATGCCTCACCGTCCTCCCTGGTCAGGGGCGTCTGCCTGTGTCTCCCCCATGATGAAGATGTTCCTGTCTCTGGCAGCCATGCTATGTTTAATCGTAGCCAGCACTCACTCAAAGGCATCAATTGTCTTTGGTCTTTATTCATTGTCCAGTTTTGGCATGGATATGAGGTCGCTGAAAAGACCGTGGTCAGGGGCACCTTAATCCTCAAAGTGATACTTGGGCTTTTTAACAGAGATCCGAGGCAGGAGCGTTTCCAGGGCAACACTGTTTGCTTCCTTGCCTGCTGACTCCATGTTGTTGACTGCGGATCTAAGCAAAAGGAAATCTTCAACAATTTCCGTATATTCTGTTTATCACGGTGTTGGCACTGGCCCGGTTGTGAGGATATTTTGTTCTCTTGATAATGAGATAGCATCTGTACTGAAGGCTTTGATCTTCTGCGCTAAGGGCTTCAAATCCTCTTCAAGTTCAGCAAGCAAGGCTGCGTCATCTGTGTGTCTTAAGTTGTTGATGATTCTTCCTCCAACTCTGATGCCACATTTTTCTTCCCAGAGTCCAAGTTCTCCAGATTATGTGTTGGTGTACAGATTACTTTTCCCAGTTTAAACCATGAAGTATCTCCTCATTCTTTTCAATGACTCTTGGTCAACAGATAAGTCCTGCATGAGCACAATTAAGCTTATTAATGCAATCTTTATTATCTTCATGGTCGTCCACAATTTGTTATCATCCGGATAGTTGAATCCATCTGCTTAGGCAACAAAATTTTCTAGGATTATCTGTTTTCAGCCAAGATCCTTCTAACACTAGTAGTGATACCTCTCATTCCACGGTTCGGAATTAGGCTGGAATTTCTGGTAGTTCCCTTTGGATACATTATCATTGCAGCTATTTAAAAATTATCTTCAGCACAATTTTACTTGCATGTGATACTGTTTGATAATTTCCACATTCTTTTGGATCATTTTAGGATAGACATAAATATGGGCCTCTTCTCGTCATTCGGGCAGGTAGCTGTCTTCTAAATGTCTTAAATAGTTGAGTGGGCATCTCCAGTGTAGTCTCAGTTTATTGAAACATCTCAATTGGCATTGCATCAGTTCCAGAGTCTTGATTTTTGCCAGTCTTCAGTGCAGCTTGGACTTCTCCCTTCAATATCATTGGCTCTTGATTATATGTTACCTTCTGAAATAGTTGAAACATTGACTAATACTTTTTAGATATTGTTATGTGCCCACAAGTTGCTTGCAACTCATAGCAAAGCAACCCTATGTACAATAGCCCTGAACCCTGCTGAATCCTGTGCCAACCTTATTGTCTCTGACACATCTACCCCAGTCACTGTATCAATCCATCTCATTGAACATCTTCCTCTCCTGCACCATCCCTCCACCCTTCCAAGTATGATGTCCCTCCCCAAGGACTGGTCCCTCCTTGCAACAAGCCCAAAATATGGCACATGAAACCTCAGAATCCTTGTCTTCAAGGAGCAGCCTGGTTTCACCCTCTCTAAGATGAACTTGTTTGTTCTCCTAGCAGTCCAAGGTATATTCAGTATTCTTCTTCAACATCACAGCTCTAAGATATCAATTTTCTTTCTATCATACCTATTCATTGTCCAGATTTCTGTCTGATACATAGCAAGTAATTGTGAAGACTATGGCCTGGATCAGGCGCACCTTAGTCTCCAGCCTGACATTGCTGCTTTTTGTTACTCTGGAGAGGTTCCTGATGACAGACTTTCCTCAATGCAATACGTCTTTTGATTTTCTGGATGCTGGTACCAATAGTGTTGATTGTGGAGCGAAGAAAACTAAAGCTATTAAAAAAAAATCTCAATTTCTTCACTGTCTATCATGATGCTGCCAATCGGCCCAGTGGTGAGAATCTTTGTTTTCTTGATGTTGCACTTCAATCCATACTGAAGGCTGCAGTCCTTGACCTTCTGCAGCAAGCGCTTCAGGTCCTCCTCAGTTTCAGCAAGGAAGGCTGTGTCATTTGCATAATGCAGATTATTTATGAGCCTTCCTCCAATCCTGATGCCACATTCCTCCTCATAGAGCCCAGCCTCCTGGATGATCTGTTCTGCATATAGATTGAACAGGTATGGAGGTAGGACACATGCCTGGTGTACACTCTTTCCAATTTTGAACCATGCAGTGTTTCCTTGCTCTGTTCTGATGACTGCCTTCTGGTCCAAGTATATGTTTTTGTTAAGCACAATCAAATAATCTGGGACTTCCATTCTTCTCAGAGTTAGCCACAGTTTATTGTGATCCATCTAGTCAAATGCCTTTGCATACTCAATGATCAATGAAACACAGATAGAAGTTCCTCTGGTACTCCCTGCTTTCAGCCAAGATCCAACATCAATGCACCAATCTCACAGGGGAGTGGAGAGGAAGTGGGAGGACAGACGGGGTGGGAGGCCTGAGCCATCAACCAGAGTTGGATGGGGGCAGGGGATGGGTGATGCTGGAGGCTCAAGGAGAGAGAATTGAGCTGGATGCTGGCAGGGCGGGGCGAGGGTGAATGGGCCCAAGAGGTGGGTCCAGAGACCCACACCTGATCTGTTACCTGCATACTCTCATCAGCTCTCTTGAATAAAATGCTTATCTGTCGAATGTTGCTCTAAAGTGGAACACCTAGATTAAGACAGACTAGGGAGAAGGTCAGGCCATTCACTTCCGAAATAACAGGCTTTAGAAAACCCTGTGTTCAACAGAGCACAGTTAGACTAGACTAGCAGATATGGCACTGGAGACTGAGCTTTCGTATTGGGAATCACAGAGGAGGAGGAACAAACAGGAAGGTAGAGTGTGAGAACTATGAATATGGGGACTTTGGAGATCATTAAGGAAGAAATGGAAATTGTCAATTCCACCCACAGGACCTTCAGATTTTTTAACTTGAGCCTGCCGGTTTTTCTCCAGTTTGAGAAATGCTAAGTACGTTCTTCCCTTTCCGTTTTCTAACTCCGGATCATTGCACGTTCTGTTATAATTCTTTTCTTGAGCCCCCTCTGAATGAAGTCTTCTCTAGTCCTTCTGTTTCACAAAGTCCACCTGAGCAGGTGACTGTCCCGGACGCCCTCTGTGGGGCAGGTGTACTGTCAGACGGGGTTCTCTGAGTCAGGAGAGACTGGATGGTACCAGCAGGTCAGTTACAGCTGAGGTTTTAGCTGCGGTTTGAAGGCAGCAGGGCCGACAAGGCTGTGTCACAGCCTCTCAGTCACCTGTGAGAATTCATGTCTCAAATGTGTGTTACTTATTTGTTAAGTTTATTTTAAACTAAACTCCTCACTTTTGTCTTAAATAATGTTGCTGTAAGCTGTCATTTAATCAATCCTTGATTTGCAGAGATCTTGGGCACAAAGGAACGTGGTGTTGCCCAGCCCACACCATCCCCGGGATCTGGCATGGTCCCGTTTGCCAGAATCCATTCATTTCACATTGGATGGGTGACTTTTGGAATCAGATCACCCGGCCTTTCTTCCTAGTCAGCCTCCCTCTGGAAGCTCTGCTGAGACCTGTTGCCCTGACAGATGGTGGAGGCTGTGCCCAAGGGACATTGGCTGGGAGACCACCTGCACGCTACCCAGCGATGCTTTCCTGATGCATATGTAAGGAACTTGGCAACGCTCAGCGTCAAAGTGGTGTGCCAGAGGCCAGCTCAAGTAGCCCTGGGTGACTGGGACTCTGGCCCCTCACACAGCTTCAGGTCAGTGATGAGGTCTCTCTAGCCATCCAGGAAGGTGAGGAATCACCCTGGGTCCAGGTGAGCACAGTCCCGCGTCCCCCTTCCCACGGGTGTCCAAGACTCCTTTTCCTGGGTCCCCATCCCCACGAGGCTTACCATAAAGACAATGGAGACCAGGTTAGTGCAGTAAGCAGGGAATCTGTCTCGCCAGGTCAGCTTTACCTTGTCTGTCTGCAATGGGAAACAGGCTCTGGTCATTCAAGGGGCTGACACAGTGGAGACAAGGGTGTGTGTGTGCGTGTGTACAACATGGACAGGTGACGAGCACATGGTAGGGTCAGTCATCTGGGAAGACGCATGGGGCTGGACGGCCCAGGAGGTGTGGCCACCCGGCTATAGGCAGGGCCGTGGCTGACCTTTGCGTGTGGGTACTACCAGTGGGGACACTTCCTGCAGATGTGCGGGCTCGCACCCAGGGGAAGACCGCGTGTGCAGAAGCCACGTCTAAGGGTGAGTCTTCCTTCTGAGATGAGAAGACCTAGGACGTGGTACCCGACCACTCAGACCACGCTCTCTTCTTCCCCTATGTGGGCTGCTGCAGGGGCCTCGCACTATGTCTCCAATGACTGGTCACAGGGCCACAAGGGACATGTGACACTAAGCCACAGGGCCATGAGGGACGGGGCTCCAGGAGAGCATGGTGTGAGGGAGCCTCGGGTAGAGGTCACTAAGGTGGAATGTCTCAAGAGGGGGGAGGTGGCCTGGCCTTTAAGACAGAAAAAGCAGAGATGCCCCCCGCCACATGGCAGGCCATTCTCACAGGCAACATGCAGGTTACCCAGACGTCCAGCCAGGCAGGTGATGGTGACAAGCATGTTCCACAAGGTGCAAAACACAGCCAGTGCATCCCTCCTACGCACCCACCCAGGCGGTACGTGACACCCCAATACACACCCACCCAGGAGGTACGTGACACCCCAACACACATCCCAGCTCTTTGGGGTGCTGGCAGAAGGCAAGGGAACATGGCCGTGAAGGTTAAAAACAATCAAACGATAGAGAAAATAAAAACAGAATAGAAACACAATTGACTCAATCGTCTGCAGTCAGGACAGGGCTGCCCGCGGTGGCAAAGTACCAATTTCACCCCTGCCATGGCGGTCTTAACCCTCTGTTTCCATCTGTTGGCCGACTCCGCGGGCACATGGTGGCACTTCTGGGAGCAGGTGGGGGGACAAGAGAGGACCGGGCAATGAGGCGCTAAGAGGCACAGGGTGACTGCTGGCCGTCACTGTCCCCGCATCCGGACAGCCCCTCGGCCAGCTCACTGCCGAGGTGTCTCCAGGGTGGCCGGATGCCCAGCCCACCGCGGGTGGCCACACCCACAATCTCAGGCTCAGGAGACCGTAAGTGGCAGTTGTTCTTTGTAACCAATCGCGCGTTCTGCCTTTAAGAGCCGCGGACTCGGTCCAGCTTGCAGCACAAGGTCGAGCTGTCCCAAAGCTGGAAAACCTTCATTACTTTTCTTTAAAGAACATTTTTTTTTTAAAAATTTGAATTAAAGTTTGTAAATCACATTGGTACTTCATTCAATCATTCCTGGGCCTTTTGTAACAGGAGTTACAGCTGGCTAATGTACTCACTACAACAACGCTAGGCCTTTACGTAACCTTTAGGTGTGCTGACCATCCCGGTGTCCCCCGCTGAGCAGCTGCTGGATTTGAACTGCCTACCTTTGCTGGGTTAGAAGTTGAGTGTTCAAGCACTGCACCACTAGGGCTCATCCCCCTTCCCCCTCAGCATCCTGGCCGGGAGGGGGCATGAACACATGGACACCTGCCTGGAGCCAGATGCAAGGGGGAGAAGCAGGTGTGGCCGTCAAGGTGGGCAGTGGCACCATGAGGAGTCCTGGGACACCCTGTTCCTTTGTTGTTTTTATGTGATCGAGGAGCTCAGATCCAAACCAAGCCAGAGGCCGGGGGCAGAAAGCCAGGTATCAGGGTGTGTCCACCCCACAATGCTCACGGCCAGTCTTTGGCATCGGCCAGGCCGCTGGTCTCAAATGGACACACATCTGCCACAGAGCTTTTTTCCTCAGGAAACTCAAGAAGCTGAGTGTCCACCAACCAGGGGGTCTGCTCAGACGGCAGCCACCCATGCATGTCAGAGTGGAAGTGTGTGCAGAAGGCAGTTGCCAGGTCTTTCTTGCGTGGTGCCTGTGGGTGGACTTGGGTGCCCTGGCACTGCAGCTGGCCCCTCAGTCATCTCGGGCTTGAGGCTAAGGGTTCGTACAGAAACCAGTCCCCACGGGACATGGCCTGTGGGGCCGCAGGGACAGTGGTGTCCACACTTCTCACTTCAAGGAGGACATGAGGTCCAGAGGGGCTCATGGGCTGGTCTGAGGGGACGCCTTGGCAGACCAGGGGCCTGGGACATGCTCATAACCTGTGGTACCAGACAAGCAGGCTCCTCATTCTTCGGGTGACTCAGAATTTTGGGGTTGTTCTCTTTGCACTATTAGGCCCTAGCTAGAGGCTAAGAGACTACTGAGGAAGGTGTATCCCTCTTCTGCAAGAGGACTGAGGTGGGCCCCAGGTTCTCTGCTCTGCGGCTTCATAAAGCATCATGTGACTCCCAACGTGGGACTGTGTGTGACCACCCCAGCCACAGTAGACAGTGGACTCCGACCACGATTACAGGAGAAGGCGGGAGTCGGGGGGATTTCTGATCAGGCCCACAGTGGCAAAGGCCACAGCAGGAAACCGGAACTGGAGGAGCCTTGCTCTGAATCGCTCTAAGGACCACACCAGCTTCCTGGGTCCCAGCATGAGGAAGACACGACCCAGGGCTGGCTTTGTGCCTCTTCCTGCCACGGGATGAGTCACCATAAACCAGCATGGGCTTCTGGAGGGTCAGGATGGTTCAGACTGAGCACAGGTGACTGGTCAGTCACCCTCAGTCACCCTCGAGGGGTATTTCAGCACCCCTGCACAGAGAACTGCTCCAGGACCTTCAAGGCAGGTGGCTCTACCAAGGTGCCTCTTTGTGGGCTTGAACCACCAATGTTTTAGCTGGAAGTGGACACTGAACTGTTTGAGCCATGCAGGGAAGTCTCTGTGTACATGACAAGACCTCAGTTTGAAAAGACATTTCAGGAAAAAGAAAAAGAAGAAGATGGCAGCTTTCAGCACTGGAAAAGCCACTTTCTCTCCTATTCTCAGCATCTATATGCGACACTGGAGTTGGCATTTTCCCAAGAACCGTAGCATGGCGAACTTTCCTGCTTCATCGTTCAACACGGAATGCAGGGTGGACACAGACAAGGCCGAGTGGCCAAATGCATTGAGAAATGGGCTCGAAGCTGCTTGGTTTGCTGTCAAAGTGCTTGCTGAACTGTGCATTCACCCCCAGGAGGCACATCAAGAACGGGTCGGCAGCAGCCACTTGCCTGGGACTCAGGGCAACCCCCTCACACGTCGGAGGAGAACTGCACCCTGCAGGGTTTTCAGTGGCTGATATTTGCCAGGCTTTTCTTTCTAGGCACTTCTGGGCAGGCTTGAACTACCAATCCTCTGACTAGCAGCTGAGCAAGTGAAGTGCTTATACCACCCGGGGACTCCACGTCTACACCAGGGTGTGATTCACAACAGCTTGAGGGCCAAGTCCGGCATGCTGCTGGTTTTTATCAATAAAGTTTTATTGGCACACTGGCCCCTGGTTCGCACGGCACCTCCACCACAATGGCAGGAGTGAGCAGCTGTAAAGGCGGTTTCTGACGCCTGTAATGTGAACTCCCTGGCCCTTTACAGACATGTAAGCTGGCCCTGGTGTGTGCAGTCGGGGTGCTTGGGGTCTCTGGCCGGAGAAGCAAGCTGGTGGGGCGCCGCGAGGGGGACACCATACCTCTTTGTTTTTGGATTCTTTTCTGAGTGACTTCTCCAAAACTCTGGCTTCGTATTCGGCTCTGGGATGATCCTGTGGGAGAAACTGAGTCAGGAGGGTGGTCCCACGGGCGCTCTCCGAGGCCTTGGTGCGGGCAGGCTAGCCGGTGCTGCCAGGTGCAGGAAGCGGGGCCAGTTCACAGCAGGCTGCTTGTCCCTTCTCATTCAGAGCCCCTCAAGTCTGCTGGGGTGGTGGCTCAAGCTGCCCCTATGAAGCAGCCTGGAGCCCCAGTTGTGGGGTGGCCACATCTGGGCCACAGCACCCTTGTCCCCCACTTCCTCACAGCAAACACCCAGCCGTGAACCGGCCCCAAGAACGTCCGATTGGGCAGTGTGGAGTCAGCAAGCGCGGGGGAGAGGAGCGAGGGTGGGTCAGCAGAAGGTGCTAGAACAGAAGAAAGGGTTAAGAGAGCCGGGGTGGGCAGAGCACGGAGACCCTGGAGCAGAGACAGGTGGCAGGTGCGAGGAGGCCCCTCTTCCCGGGAGAAAGGCTAGAGAGACAGAGGAGTCACAAAAAATTCCAAACCTTGACCGCCTCCTTCAGGGAACCAGGAAGAAAACAGAAAGGGAGAGATTTGTTACTCGAGCTGTTTTGTAAAGCTGACGGGGTGCTGTCATGGCCCCCGCTGCGAGGTGGCCCCACACTCATTAGAGTAGAATTGTGCTGCTCGGGGCTTCTGGGCTGCGTTTCCCGAGGCCGACAGCCAGGCCTTTCTTCCGAACTGCCTTGGGCAGCCCTGAACCGCCAACCTTTCTGTTAGCCAAGTGTTTATGTACTTGTTTCCCTCAGCATCTCCCTGGTCACATCCTCTAAAGGTCATTTCCGCAAGGAACTGCTTGAGGTCAGTTTCTTTAAAACACTCTTGGGGGTTACAGTTTTGGAAATTGCCAAGTGACTGTGCAGCAGTTCAGGTGATCAGACCCACTTGTCTGCTTCAGGCACCAGAATCAGGGGCTCAGACTGTGTGGAGAGGTGTCCCCTTTCCCCTCAGGTGACCAATTCTCAAGTGAGGCTCTGGGGTGAGGATGGAGTGGAGGTGTGTGGGCTAGCCTTGTGAAGTTCACTCAAGCTTCTAGGCAGTTGTTCCAAGATTTCAGCAAACTCCAAATCCCAGTGCCCAGGTAAGAGTCAGGTCTCTGAGTGGCGGAAGCCAGGGGACGGACCTTTCCCCAGACCCCCCTGCCCAGGGACAGGCTGGAGGGGGCGCTTTGAAGTGCCCTCCAGGGCACCAAAGGCCTCAAGGCTCTGTTCTATCCAGACCCCTCTCATGGAAACAGGAGCCAGGATGGCCCCCTGCCTCGAGAACTGGCTGATGCAGGCCCTGGCACCCCAGCACGGAGTTCACCCTGATTCCCCTCCTGGGATGGCCGTGCATCCTGGACACGCTCTGTCCATGAAGCTGAGAGTTCAGCAGGCCCAGGGGTGGCTCAGGGATGGCTGGTGGGACGTTAGGTCTCATGTCTAATGAGACCTCACCCTCAGAGCCAATCTAGGGGGCTGGCTCTCGGCTCCTGTTTGAGACAAGAGAATGTGGGGGCAATGTACAGCCACAGATCAGAGCCCATCAGAGCCCGCCAGGCCCACTGAGCCGTGGCCTCTCCTGCTAACTATGGTTCAGCTCCTTCACGCTCCCACAGCATCCTGTGCACAGCAGGAGGCTACAGACGTGGAGGAGTGGTTTTCACACAGCAATTCGAAGGCACGTGAGTCCCCTCCTTGCAAAAATCACATGTGCACAGAACTGTGGCCTGGGTGAGGGGGAGACCTTCTGCCGGGGCCCTTGGCTGTGTCAGGGACCAGCGTCCCACTGGGGAGTCTCAGGTGGACATGGATGTATGGGCTGGACCAGTGGCAACGCTCCTACTGTGGGCTCCAGGGTTATGGCCCCTCCCTCACTTGGCGCGTGAAGATGCCCACCCTGGTCTCCTCTGTATGGTGTCCAACCCCAGCCACGTCCAGTGGCGAGCAGGAAGTGGGCTTTGACTAGCAGGTGTCGTTTGCACTGTGGGGCCCCTGCTCACAGGTGCTTTGGGGGACTGCCTGCCAGGTCATCCAGACCCAATCAACAGTCCCTACAGGGCTGGGAACCCTGGTGAGCTTTCACGGCCACTCTGCTGGGCAGGGTGTCTACGTGAATGTGAAGATCAAGAACATCTTAGCAGATAGGAGACTGTCTCCTTGGCAACAAGGGAGAAGAGCGGGGTAGACAGGAGTGGCCTTGCCTTCGCCCCTGGGCCAGGGTGGGCATCGCTCAGTTGGGGGCCAGCACACTCACCTCCTCCTCCTCGAAGCCCGTGAGGTCCCAGCGGTAATTGAGCCTCATCTGCTTCCGCTTCCAGTGCTCCATGAAGGTGGCGGCTGCGGGCGGGAAGAGAAGCGGGGAGTCAGGAAGAGGAGCCCCGGGACAGAGGACACGTCCACAGAGCAAACGCGGGGTGCTGGGCTCAGAGCTTCCCTGGGCGGCTGCCCAGCCCTCAGCCACCCCGTTTCAGATGCGGGGAACCAAGTCTCACAGCCACAGTTACTCAGTGTTCTATTTGTGTGTGTGAACTGTGATGATGGAGAAGAGCACTGAATATCCCAGGACCGCTGAGAAACAGTCAGCTTGGAGAATGTGCAACCAGGCTGCTCTTTCAGGCCAAGGATGCTGGGACTGTCTCCCATACTGCGCGCATGTTGTTAGGCAAGGCCAGTCCTTGGAAAAGGACATCATTCTGGGGAAGGTGGAGGCCAGGGAGAGAGAGACTTCCCACGAGATGAACGACCCCAATGGGCTTAGGTGCAGCCGATCTGGAGAGGAGCTGCAGGACCGGGCGGTTTCAGACCTGTCGTTCAGAGGCCGCTGTGCGTAGCAGACAGTACCCAACACCACTGCTTCATGTGTTCGCCGGGGCAAACCTGTAGGCGTGGCTGTAATCTCTATGAAAGCTCATCACCAACTGGCTCTTTGGTGGGGCCGCTGGGCAGGCTTGAACCAGCAACCTTCTGATCACCAGCTGAATGGAGACCATCTATATCACTCAACGATGTGAAATTCCTAACCACCATGGTTATTTAGTGAGGGGACAAGGACCTGACCCCTAAGCCCACTCTCTCCCTTTGTTCTCTCCTGGCCCACCAGCACACAGGTGAGGACCCTGAAGTCAGCATGGGAGGAGCGACCAACAGAAGACGACTCAGCATCAGACTGGCAGTGAGTCAGGACAGACAGAATACAGCCCAAATGCCACCTCCACAGGAAGTCACTAGCAGTCAAGAGATCAGGAGGCATATTGCTCTAGCAAGTTGGCTGTCAGGGGCCTCCCAAAGTTCTGAGGAGCAATGGTGTTAGTCTGAACACTAAGGTGCACCTGATTTAGGCCATGATCTTTCCAATCACTTGTTGTACCTCTGAGAGTTGGACAATGAATAAGGATGACAGGAGATTCGGCGCTTTTGAGTTGTGCTGGAGAAGAGGACTGAGTATTTCATGGACGGTGAAAAGAACAAACAGATATGTCTTAGAAAAAATTGCAGCCAGAGTGCTTCTTGGAGGCAAGGACAGCAAAGCTTCACCTCACATATTCTGGCATGTTTCTGGGAGATGCTATTCTTTAGAAAGGGACGTAATGCTTGGAAAGGCAGAGGGTCAATGAAGGAGAGGAAGACCCTCAACCAGATGGACTGACACAGTGACTGCAGCAATGGGCTCAAGGGTGCCAGAGATGAGGAGGACGGCACAGGACAGGACAGGGCTCAGATCTGCTGTTCTCAGTGCTGCTATGAGCTGATGGCATCGAGCAACAACAGGAAGCCACCGGCCACCCCTTTGGGATCAGAAGTAGCCTCTCGAGTCCTGTTCAAAAGGACTTTGTTCCTTACACTCCCATCCATGACAGCCTCAGCTGGGAACAAAGCCTTTCTCTGAAGGTGTTTCCAGTAAAAGTTTCCTAGTAGAGTAACCTGTCCAAGAGGGGTAACTATAAAAGTTAAGGATGGAGTCACATACAGTGAAGACAGATGCCAAATAAAGATGACTAAGTAAGTGAAGGCCTAGAGATGCAGGGGCTCTGGAAGCTAACAGACACAGGACAGGGCCAGCAGGGAGCACAGGCTCTGCTGAAGCTGGGCTCCTCCAACACACTGGTGTTGGTTCAAGTCCTGGCAGGGCGATGCTTCATCACCACGACCATAGACACCCAACCAGGTCCTCTCCCCACACCAGCTGTCTTGTTCTATCCATACCATCTCTCACTGTATGTGAGACAACGATAGGGTCTTATATACCTGGACCCCCACCACCTCACCCTGTCCTTGCCCAGAGGGACGCTTGAGGATGGTCACTAAATAAGTGAATGTGTGTGAGAGAGGTGCGCTCTGGAATCTGCAAGGCCTGGGTCCTGGTTCAGAGCTCTTCCCTACACAGAGCGCACCCCTCCACTATGGAGAGATGCACATGGGGCCTCCAGTTTACACGAATGCTTTAAGCACTAGCTGCTGGACCAGCCAGGCCCTGCCAGAAAAAAAGAATCTCACCACATCTGTCAGATGGGAAATGAAACACTGAGAATTGGCCACACAAGCAATGGGCGGACGGGGGAGTCGACCAGGGCTGGTGAGGCCACTGGGACTGTCAACTGCAAGAGGCTGGGACTGAGTTGGGGTGGTGGACTGTGAGAGGTTACCAGACTGGACAGGGCAGCTCTCCAGGAGATGGTGGGAGCATGGAGGGAGGGGCTGCCTGGTGGGGGTTAAAGACACAAAGGAAGTGCCACAAGGTCCTACAGGAAGTGCCACAAACTCCTACAGGAAGTGCCACAAAGGTCCTACAGGAAGTGCCACAAAGTTACTACAGGAAGTGCCACAAACTCCTACAGGAAGTACCACAAAGTCCTGCAGGAAGTGCCACAAAGGTCCTACAGGAAGTGCCACAAAGTTACTACAGGAAGTGCCACAAAGGTCCTACAGGAAGTGCCAGAGTAAAGCCACAGGAAGCATGGAGAGAGGCACACATGCTCGCACACAGACAAGCCTGCATGTGCACAGACAGGGAGGATTACCCTGGTTTCTCCTTTTCTGTTGCCCTTTGACTTCTCACTGGGCCCTCACATTGGCTGACCCCTCTGCCCCCCGCCAAGTAGAAAGCAAGAGAGCCTGGGAAATGTAGTCCAGTGCATAGAATCAAGCAGGACAAAAGAGACCAAACTAAAACTGAAGTCACTGGCACAGAGCTTAGAGGCATCTGCCCCAAGGCTTTCCAGGACTCTGAGTGTTTACAGAAGCAGGCCTGCCTTTCTTTCTCTCCAGGAGTGGGTGCTGTGCATGAACTGAACACCTTTTGATTAGCAGTGCAATGCATTAAGCGCTGTAACACCAGGGCTCCTAACAACCTTTCAAGCACCACAAAACCATACCCACTGCCCTCACGTCCATTCTGGCCTCATGGCTGCCTTCTATCCGGTCCTGAGACAGTGAATCTTCCAGAAAGGAGACTGCCCATCTTTCCACCAAAAAGCAGCTGGTAGATTCAAACCTCCAGTCTTTTGGTTAACAGCTTGACATGTTAAGAACTATACCACCTATAGGTATTTCTAGGTGATCCAGGTAATTCCTTGGTAATCCTACTTAGGAATTATCTTCATACTATGTCCGTGAATCAAGCAAGATACAGAAACTCAGAGACATTCAACGCTATATTCAAGGTCAAGTACAAGTCAATGATGTAAGTGGGACTGAAAGCTAAGCCTCTGTGGCTCCTGTGTCCACTCATGACGACAACATTCAATCCAGCCTCTGTACTATGAAGGAAACAATTATAATAGAAATAATAATAATACTAGAAAACCCTTAATAACATAGCAAAACACATGCCCCCATCTTACAGATGAGGAAACAGAGGCACAGGGAGGTTAAGCTACCTGCTCCAGGTCACACAGCAAGGAAGCAGTATTTGAACCCAGGCATTCTTGCTCCACAATTTGTGCTATTCATGATCTTAAGTTCAAAGGCCATGAGGGAGGAACTGCTGGGGGAAGGCGGGTGAGGATGGCTGCACAGAGGGAAGACCGCGCCGTGTCCCTGACCTGTCCATGTGGGCACTGCTGCAAGGGTGTGTGTGCTGCTGTGCATGTCACACAGGCAGAGAGGATGGACCAAAATGCACTAAAGCTAGTAAACAACACACTAAGATGCTGGGCAGCTAAACAGCAAATAAAGATCATAAAATAGACCCCAGGGCTCCCCCAAACAGGTATCTGCAGCCACGGCACCAAGACAGGAGTTGGGGTCTAACCTGATAGCTAGGGTAGAGGTGACACACACAGACGTGGCACAGCCAGGTTTCAAAAAACATGAAACAAAACTTTAAAAATCACAAAATGAGGGAGCCCTGGTGGTCTAGTGGCAAGAAGCTGAGCCGCAATCCTGAAGGTGCATGGTTCGAATCCACCAGATGCTTCACTGGAGAAGGAGGGGCAATCTCCTCCTGTGTCAGTCAGATCTGATTCAACAATACACACAAGAAACAAAAAATAATCACAAAATCGGCTAGGCTCAGTGGTCTGATGAAGCAGATGCATCCCCACCTGTGGTCCTTAGCTTTCCAGCCTAGAACTCAACACTGTGACTTAGCCATCAGCCAAAACCCCCAGGGAGGAACACGCTCCTCAGAACAAGCACCACACAAGCCCAAAAGGGTAGCACTTATCTGGGGAGAAGGCTCAGAACAAAGAAAGGTAGAAGAAGGATGAGTGGAGACAGGAAACACACGGCAGGCGTGGGAAGAGTGCTGTTACATGGTGTGGGTTGCCAGCAATGTCAGAAATGGAATGCGTGAGGACTGTGGGATGGAAAACTCATTTGCTCTGGAAAATATGAAATCACAATAAAAAGTTTAAAATGCAGACATTCTATATAAAATTTGACTGCCCTGCTGTTCATCTGACAACCAGACACATTGGCACTAGGAGGTGAGAGCTGGGGGGGGTCCTCGTTGTCAAAATTGGGACACCCCTTCTCCACTTGGCCTATTGCCTGGCCCCTATGGTGCTGAGTTTTTCATGCCTGCTCTGGAGCTGAGGAATGGGCTGTGGGGTCAGGCGTAGTCAGCAGGAGGGGGTGAGCCTGGCTCCGGGGGCTGGCCTGAGGTCCCAGCTCCACCCTGGGCACTGTGGGCAGTGGTCAGCGTGAAGAACCATCCTCCACCGAGCCAACTCTCCCAGCCCTGTTTTCCCAACATCTTCTGTTAAGTTCCACTACAACTCACAGCCACCCTATGACCGACAGCTCGAAGCCCTGGCCCACCCTGCGTCCCCCTGTGTCCCCAGCACCTGCAAGCCTGTTGTGGCATCGCTGTCAGTCCTTCCTGTGGAGGGTCCTCC